GTGTGTGTGTCCTGGCAGTCGCACACGTAGCATTCTAAGGGCATAAAGCGTACTTATCGGCTTTTCCCCGAGCTCGGCCCAGCCCGGCCGAAGACCGAAGGACTAAACAGGACCTGAACTGCTCAAAATACCCAAAACCAAAATCTCGAATGTCCATTAGCATACGACGAATCTTCCATCTATACTGTTGATAACAGGGGCGTGGGAGGGAGTTTTTCCAAAAGGGGTTTTAACTTTCAAACTTGAAGGTTAAAGGTCTTTAATTTTAGGAAATTATTTTAATTACAAAGGCTTGAAACAAGGTAATTTTATAATAATATATGTATAGTTTTTATGAAGCTTTATAGATTTTAAATATTGGCCCAATTTCATATAATTTATTTACTAAGTTTAAGCCCCCTCGATTAACCAACATTTCCAGTACCACGCCCCTGTCTTAACCCCCTCGAATATATCCTGCCCACGTCTGAAGCCTTTGGCCTGAAGTTTCTTTTACTCCTTTTCGGCTTCAAACCACTCAGCAACTTACCACCCAAAATTGTGGCAACAGAGGGGGTTCAAAGGGGCTAACAGAGGCGTAGGTGGTGGGGGCTGGTCCAGCACAAGCACACCCACACACACGGTCAGGGGAAAATCCACACCATCTGCTACACCTTACACCTAACCCAACAATCCAATTCCGAGCCAACAATATGCTTCCAAGTTTCTCCCAAAAAAGGGCGGGGGGGGCGGTAAGTCGGTGGCAGGGTCAGGGGTGTCGCTAGAGGGGGAGGCGGGCGGGGTGTGGAGAGCAGCTGGTAAGCCGAAAGGGGCAGCCATATTGCAATGTATGGCCAAGAAGCTTTTGGCCAAGAAGCACGCAGCCCGGCGAATGTGAACGTGATGCTCGAGCCAGCCGCAGACCTTTTGCTTTCGTTTTCTAAACCCCCGCCCCTCGGATTCCTCCCCCCTTTTACCGCACACCCCCGGCAGTGTCAGTGCCGGGCCACCCCCTTCATCATTTCAAATTTAAATTTAACCTTTTGTCTTAATACGAGGAAGCGAACAACGAGCACGAGCTTCTGTCCGGGGCATCATAAAACCATCGTCAAGTCAAAGGGATATAGTCCAGAGTCCTGGAGACCTCCAGTCCGGGTGTCCTGTAGTCCGGGAGTTCTTATGCCCCATTCCAGAGTCCCTGGTTGGACCGGTTGGAGACTTATGTGCGCTGTGGAACTTGAAGTGCTAGCCGGGCTTAGACCCGTATTATTTTTTGGGGGAGTCGACTAATTTACGGATTTTTCGCCCACACCTGCGACGTGAATGGTACCAAAGAGCTCAAGGAAGTGACCAAAAGGGTTAAGGATATAGAAGAGTATACAGGAGGGAAGGAGTTGACAGCTCAAGAGGGTGGATTCATAAATAGTTTGCTTATAAAAAGAAAAATAGGCTTAAAATAATTTTGATTACGAGATAACCCTTTGTGAAGTATGAGGCTTTTTTATGCGACTTTCTCTAATTATTTAATCAGAAAAAATAAAGTTTTAAATAATTAAAACCTTAAATTAAAATCCAAAATTAGATTTAAGAATTATGATATTTTTTTCGGTGTATATCTGTGTTTTGGTCAACTGACTTTCCCGGGAAATTAACAAAGCTGCGTTTACCTCAATCGATGGAATCCGCGCAAGAGTCGGGGGGATTCTGGAGAACCAGAAGACCGGATAGGAGACAGGGACGAAAGAGGAGCTAGAAGGGGGGCTGCAGAAAAAGCAGAGGATGGAGCTGTAGGGGCGGACTAAGCGATGAAGGTGGAAGAAATGGCCAAAATTCAAAATGGCCACTCGAGGGATGAGAGCGAAAAGTCTGTAGTGGACAACTTGTACAAACCCACACACACACACACACACAGACAAATACAAACACACACCACAGAGAGAGCGAGGAGGAAGGGGGGAGGTGGTAAAGGAGGGGGAGTGGCAGGGTTAGAGGAAAGGGGTGGCGGACAACAGGAACAGGACGATGCAAAATACAGCAACAACAAAGTTATCAACACAAAAGTCAATCTGCTGAAGGGGGTTGAATGCTAAAAACAGTCCAAAAACCACGGCTAGAGGGGGGTAGAGTGGGGCTACCAGGGAGGTGGGGGGCCGGCCAAGGGGGGGCTGTCCAAAAAGGGGTGGCTAACTGGCCAAGTAGTGGGGCATTCGCAGTCGTTAAGGCCCCCTGTATTGACCCCTTTGTTAAAACGCCAAAACGGAAACCAAAGTTACACTGACAAAAAAATTTGAATAATAAACAAAAACTAGAGTAAAAAAATGGCTAAATTAAATTACTTATTTTAATACTAATTACTCCAAAAGCAAAAACTAAAATTAATAAAAGGCAAGAAATTATAAAATAATTTCCATGAAAATAGAAAATATATTTCCCTTAGTGTTTCAACTGAAGGGTTTTGCTCTCGCTCTCCGGCTTCTGACCACCCCCGGCAGGAAGCAGGAAACAGGACGAAGGACTACGGACGAAGGACCACAGGCCGCGGACACAGGGCATTGCTTGGGATGGTGATGGACGACGGCCCATGGAGATCCTTGTGCTGGAGCTGGAGCTGGGAGCTGTAGCTGGAAGTTGTTTTTCGGATTGAAATCGTAAATATTTCACCTCTGTGGCACCGTCTCGCTCGCTCCGCTTGGCCGGGCACATCCTGGCCGGGCATGTCCTGGCCGGGCTGGCCGAGCTGGCTGGGCTGGCCATATTGCCAGCGCTTTGAATCGAAATCGAAATCGAAAAGTCCACCCCTAATGGGCAGTTGAGAGCGAAAAAGCTCCGGACATCGGCCATTGCCATTCAACCCTATGCCAGCCAGTGGCCTTTAGAGTCCGTGTCCTTGGAACAGGACAGCCCACACTGCACCACCGGCTACAGGACACTGGCACGACCACCACCACCATCACCATCGCCATCACCATCGCCACAATCACCACCACCCCTTCTCACACTGCCATTTGCACAATTACATTTATAAATGCCGCGCCAGGATATCAAACAGAAACTACCAGAACAGGACAATCGAAAGTCTCCAAGTTATTTGCTCTTCAAGGGGGCAAGGACACCCTTTCAACTCCGAAGCTCCCTCCCCCTCACCCGATTCCCAACCCCTTGCCAACGAAAGTAATGGCTAATTTCTAGGAATCAGAAGTGTATAAATTGGCGCTTATGGGGCCAGAAACTTAAAGATTTTCCTCGGAGGGGATTTTCCAAAAAAGGCCATAAAAACTCTAATAAAATAAAAGGCAATATAATTAAGAGAATAAAAAATAAGAGAATGCGAAATATATATTTTGTTTATATGAGTTTTTTATAAAAAAGGGTTTTCGATTTTTGATTTTCTTGATGAGTTTAAGGATCTTAAGAGCTCTGAGCTGAACAATTATTTGAAAATTTTAAAATGTGTTTCAAAAATTTTAAAAATTAGCTATCTATATATTCAATCTTTCTATTAGATAACTCTCCTAGTTATTGAAACTATTTTAAAAGCAAGTTCCAAATACTTTAGACACTTTTGTTAAGTATTAAGTATTATTTCAAAAAATAACTATCAAGCTTTTCAATTAAAGTTTCTCATTTGAATACAGGAATATATTTAGGCTTTCAAGTTTTAGAAAATTATCACAAATATTTGAAAGCTTGGTAAATTTTAAAAAATATCCAAAAACTTCAACCTCATATTTAAGTAATTTTTCTAAAACATTTTCCAAGAGCTCTCTAGATTTCCAAACTGCAAACTCAAAAATCACCGAAAGCCTCCCAAGCTCTCATAGTTGTGTTATCTTCCCGTGGAGATCTCAAGGATGTGCCGGCGGCTGGAAAAAGGTCCTATTTTCGGGTAGCCGGGCCGAGAACAAAGCCCGGAATTGGCTAATTGATGGCACTCCGGTCGAGGCCACTTGACTTGATCGGAGAGTCCGATCGGAACCGCGTTCGTAATCCTGAAGAGCGAAAAGCGCAACATCCGATCGAATCGGAGCGATAGGAATGAGGGCCTTATAGGTGTTTAGGTGATAATTGTAGAGTTACGCGATAAAATCGCGTCCGATCTTGGCGGCAGTCGATCGAAATGTGAATCACTCGCTGGTGAGAATGGGAATGCATCGAAATGACTCGCGGATTTGCCTACCGCGGTTTCAAATAATCCCGAAACCCCTAAAAGGACGAAGGGTTGGCTCCTGCTTCAGCTCCGGCTCCTGCAGATCCTGCCGACAATTTGTAAGCACTTTCCCCCACCCCTCTCGAACCTCGAATCGGGAAATAAAAAAGGGTTTTGCAGTTTCAACCATCCCCTACCGCGATTTGCGAATAAGTTCCCGTTGCCGTCTCTACCTGGGAAATGGTAATGTGTCCTGAATACAGGACACATAGCATATTCTGTTATTGGGACATCCTGGATGCATGCGTAACCCTTTCGGGTAAATCGAGTTAATCTCCGTCCCGGTGAAATTATCATTTTTCATTTCGTCCTGACATCTGGCTGGCATTGGGTTAAGGGTTCGCCAGGACACTGCACAAGATCGCTGGTTCGCTGGATCGCAGGAACTGCCAGAGATTCGAAGATCTGAAGTGCCCACAAAGGAGCTGCCAAGAGGGGAAAATAATGTCAACGCAATCAAATCCTTAAAAGGGAAGTGGAAATGTCAGGGTCTACGCTTTTTTCGGGCAAATCAAGGTGAACATGTCACACGGGCCGGTCAAAAAACTCTCTGACTTATTCAACTCGCCTAATTGAACGAGCCAGTCCATTGTTTTCGTCCTTTCGTCCCTTTGAAAGCGCCAAGTACGACCTGTCACATGTCACCAGGATATAATAATAAAAACGGAAATTATTCAGAACAATAAGGCTTTGAATTAAAGTACTTGAGTTCTACTTTTTTAAAAAACTATATCAAAAGAAGGAGTAGTTAAGCACCTACTTTTTAAAACAAATAAGACATATTCTTATCCAACCTCTTTTAAAAAAAAAGGTATAAATTTAATTCGTCTTTATAATACTTTATAATGCCGTGAAAAATTTAGATCGCTTTCCAATAACGTAATCCTTTACATGTCCTTGCGATCAGTTTTCCTTTTGGTAACCATGCAGTGCTCTTGGAGGGGGAATGAGGTGCTTCGAACTCAAAAAGGTAACAAAAATGATGCCAGGACTAATTTCAATTCTTGATCAGTGCAGTGCGTAGTCTCTCCATGTATGGCCTCCATCTAGGACGAGGCCGGGTGTGGCTGTTGGTTGAGGAGTTTGCGGCGTCGCGACTCCTCCAGCTGCTTCAAATACCTAGCGGCAATGGTCAGGATCGAGGGCTCCTCCACGTCGGAGAAGTCGTCCTCGAGACTTTTGTGATCCACGGAGCTAAGGATTTGGGTTTGAGCTATGGACAGTGGTGCCAGCGAAGGTGGCGGGGCGGAGCCGGAGGATGGGGGCTTCATTGTATTGCTTGTCTTGGAAGGGACATTCAGGGCCTTGTCCTGGGTCATTTCCCGAGCGGTACTGTGAATGGGCTGCACGGTAATCCGCTGATGGCGCATGCCCCTCACGGGCTTCTTTGCGAGTTGGTCACCCTCTGAGGTGGTCACGACATCCTGGCCAGGTTTCTTTAGACGGCGACGTTGAGCAGATTCCAGGGCTGACGCGGGTGCCTTGGACCGGGGCTCCTTGAGATCCTTCCCGGGGTCCTTGGGATCTTTCCGCTCCCTTGTGCTCTCGTCCTTGTCCTTGACATCCTTGCGGCGCTGTGAGCCCGGCGGCTGATACTGACCACCGATGCCCGCCGGATTACGTCGCTGAGCTCGCGGCACCTGCTGCCGCCTCTCCAGTATCCTTTCCACCTTCTCGTCCACCATCTGGTTGAGGCTCTCGCTCATCTCCTGCAGCTTCTCGTCCACAGCCTCGTTCACCGCCGTCCGGATGGCCGAGTATATCTCGTTCATGTAGCCGGAACGCACACTCTCCGACTGGGATCGGGGCCTCAGCTTGTCCAAGACATCCTCGGTGATCAATGCAAACCGCAATTTGGTGGCCTTGGACATTGTTCTGCCACTTAACTAGTACACTGTCTAAAAGCCGATGAGGGTTTTTAAATTTTTGGGGGTCGAAAGTGGGGTGTTTTAGCATATATTGCGTTGTGGAATTTTGGACTTGTGATTTCAGAAACTAAAACTATTACCGGACTTCTTTGTTGCTATAACACATCTGTTTTTAGGGGCCGAACAATAAATACTGAATGGGGCTCTACTTTTCTCTCAGGGACTACTATTCTAGGTATCTTGAAATGGAGTTTCGTTAGCCTGAACTTTCCCCCAATATGTGTATTTCAAACTGCCTCGCCGATAAATGTGTCCAATGACTAATCCATGAAATATGTAAAGTGAAAAATTGAATCGCAAGCCTGGTTAACCATCGGCTGCGCGGGGTGGTGTCCTTTCCAGGGGGTTAAAGGGTAGCCATAGTCTCTGTGGCTTATCGTAGGACTGCAGACAGGGCCGGGGCATCAATCAAGAGTTTCCAATGAATGGCTATCGACTGAATGGTCGAACCATCTAGCTTCTAGCGGCTAGCCCTCTCTCTTTCCGGCCCTCACATGGCCCTCTCTTTCTAGCTCCTTTCTGGACCACCACCCAAAAATAAAAGGCACTGGCACAGGGCGAAAGCAATATTTTTGCGGCTTAATATGTGTTTAAAAAAAAAAAAAATGCGAAAAAATGGAAATAAATAAATGTGAACCGCTTGCGAAAAAAAAAAATTGAATATTTTTTTGCATGGCAATGCGGGAAAGGTGGTTGGCAAGGGGGGCGCCGGGTGGCTGTCCTGGGGGGTGTCCTGGGAGGCTGTGGCTGGCTTATCGCTCGCCTTGTAGCCAGTGACAGGACATAACATAACCCCTGGTATCTCCAACAGGCCATGCGTGGGTGCTCCTTTTATTTTTTTTGCTGGTTACAAATATTTTAAACAAGTGTGGCTAACAATCTATATATATTTTTAAATAAAAATTAATATAAATTATTTAAAAATCTATTAAATTTTGTATTTAATTTTCAAGTCATATGTAAAGTCCTTGCTTTGAATTCATAAACCTTTCAAGTCTGGCATCTGAGTGCTATTATTTTAACCACGACTGTGAGGCGTGTGTGTGGTCACCCTGCCTTGGAGGATCGGGGGATTGGGGGTCTCACAAAAAGGACAGAAGGGGGCAGGCTGCCACAGACAGGGGTGGAGACAGTCGGCTGCCACAGCCTGCGGAAAAGGGGTTTGAAAAACTTGCTGACTAAGTACTTTGGAAAATTGCTTACATGTCTTCTATCTTCTGGCCGTTGCCCGCCTTCGTTTAGCGGTAATACAATGTCATTTAAGGGGGAGGAGGGGTAGCGGATGGTGTCCTCAAAGGGGAAGGGGCGGCAAGTTCCCATCCCCCATTCTGGCGAGGCAGAGGCTGATTTTCTCAATCCATTTGCCAGGCCAGTGGACAAGTGTTGGATGCCATGTTTATGTTTTTCCGTTGTCTATCATTCAGTTGTCCTTACAACAACAGCACCAACACCAACAACAACTAAAGAAACAACAACAAAGAGCAGAGACACAAAAAAAAACAAACAAGAAAACCCAAAAAGCTTTACATTTTCCACGCTTCCAGGACATTTTCCTTTTGAAGCCAAGTTGGCGTTTGAATTTTTTTTTTCTTGTTTCGTCCTTGTTGGTTTGGTAATATAAAATCCACAAACGCGAACAGAACTTCACATATGACAGCCGAAGGACAATCGAAGGAGGAGCAGCAGGCTCCAGGACCTCCACGGAGGATGGCGGCGGATGGTATAGGACTTGGCCGCTTCTTGGGATGTTTGTGATTTTTGAAGCGGAAAATCAAAGTTAAAGGCTCTTTGCACGAGACCAACTATGTTTTAAAAATAAAAACAAATATATAAAATAATAAAATATATTTTATAAAAAAATATTTAAAATTAAGACAAAACTAAGAACATTTTATAAATATTTTTAAGCCATTAGTAGAATATAATTAAAGAATATTTTAAAACAAACTCATAACTTCGATAACACGTATTTATTTTTTAAAATTTTTCATTTAAGAGTTCTTAAAAAAGGAACCCCAAAACGTATGTCCTTTTTTCATGTGTGTGTATGTGTGTGTGTGTTCGTTCGAGTTTCAGAAAATTGCATTTTTTCATATCATTAGGTTTTATTGGTTTCTTCCTGTTAAATATTCTCCAGCCAGCTCACTCTCCGTGTCCTGCCTGCTGTATTGTCAAAACAACAACCTGAACAGTATATACACAGAATACTATATATATAAGTGTATATAATCATATATAGTAGACACTGATACACATGCGGCACGCATCATATCATTCGGAAGCGAGTCCTGCGACAAGGTCCTTGGCAGACCGACAGCTCCCTCTGAATTTTCTACACATTTCCACAAATGCAAGTTGGCGATTTCCCGCTGCCTTTGTTGTTTTCCCACCAACCAATGACAATGAGGTCCTGCAGAAGGACCAGAAGGTGGGTTCGGGGAGCTGGAGTGGGGAGTCCTTTTGGAGCTTTTCCACCTGTGTAGAACAATGCGAAATCGATTCGCCTCGAAACCGCCCCAATTAAGGACCATCAGTGGAGCGCAAAAAAGGTTTGAGGTCCTGCGGGGGTCACTCACTCGAATAAAAATGTGGCGGGAGCTTAGTTCAAGGAATATGTGTATAGGAATTATAAAATATTTCCTCAGAAAACCAAATTCAACAACGCGAAAAAATTCAATTTGGTTTTTCAGCTGACAGTTTCCGGTTGCAATGGCATATCCTGAATCAGGACTCTTTCAATTCCATTGACCAACTTAAGCCACTAACTGACTGCGCAAAAAAATATTTGTGTATTTGTCCAGGCAAACACATTAAAAAACGGTCAGGCAGCCTGAATTGCGAAAAAAAAATTGCAGGGAAAAAAATCACGACTTCCATCCACCACGGACCAATGCCTATGTAAATAAAGGTGCTTATGTACACACACAAACACAAACAAACACACACACACACACAGACACAGAGGACACTTACGTGAGACATATGGGCTTGGGGGGTGGAGGGGTTGAGAGCGAAGGATATGGGTCCCACATCAAATGTCCTGGCCGCAAAAACAACAATGCCAATGGCAGGCCACCTGCGTAAATCAGGATCTGCAGGACCTTTGATTGACTGGCTGACACTTTGGGGGGCGGCAGCAGAGCGTGGGGAGGGAGATTGTGGTGGGAGGCCAAAGGATAACTGGTCAAGAGGCGAAATCGAGACGAAAGTCCTCAGATGCTGTGTCAGCGCAATATGCCACCAAGTCACCGAATCGAAACGGGCCAAAAATGGCAACAGCACCTGCAGTGGCTTGGTTGGTCCTTTTTCGTCCTTTTTTGTTACTTTTTTGTTGGACTACTACACTGACAGAATGTGTCTCAAGGAGAATATGCTTCGAATATTTCTCATCAAAGGGTGCTGCCATGGCTTTTCCGCTGTGTTCTTCTGGGGCTCCTTGGGGTCCTTTTTGCACATATGTGTGTGAGGTCCTTGTTGATGATGCGCTTCGGTGGACGCCGCCCAGCGGTAAAAGGAAATGAAAATGAAAAAAAATATATATACATCTACATATATACATACATATAAAGGTATATCCTTTATGGAAACAGTCCGTTGTCCTGGCCGATTCCGCTCGGTTGGTTTGCAAAATTTTTGAATTGGATACTCTGGCTTCGTTTTTTTCCCCGTTCCCTAGCTTTTCATCCTGACCGTAAGTCTACGTGTGCTTGTGTCTGTGTGTTTATGGCCATGTCCTGCCACGCACACACACACACATACGCGTAGTATTCGAAATTTTGCATATTAAAATATTGTCGTGCATGCAAAGGTCGCTCGTTTGCCAGAAAAGGAAAAAGGCGCCCGGCGCCGTGCGTTTTCCGCACAGTGGGCACTAGTCTTAGGTTTTTGGCTTAAAAAATATATATATTTTTAAATTAGATCTTAAATAATATTCTTTTTGAGGGAAAATTCCACTTCAGAGTCTCTAATTTTTAGACTCAAAGCCCACAAAAGAACCCACCTAGTATGGTATAACCCACTGTATATTGTGTTATTTCTCGCAGGGAACTACGAATGTTGATGCGGCACTGAGTGAGGGATATGGGGCATGAGGCATGGTGATGTGGCAGCAACATTGGGACACAGACACATCGCCTGTGGTAACACAATAACGAATTTCCGTAGCAACTTCATCGCCAAGTCCTGCTCCTGTTTCTACTTCAGCTTCTGCCATGTCCTGTTTGGTCCTGTGCTGTGTCCTGCGTTCTGCGTCCTTTTCTGATCCCTGGCTGCCTGACTGCCTGGATGCTGTATACTGGATGGAGTAGTGCCTCCCGCTGAAATGTTATCCTACTTACATGGGGTCCTGCCTCATTTGAAACTTCTGCCAATGCGCTTTTATGTGTTTTTCTTTTTTTTGTGTCTGTTTTCGGTTACATTTTAATGCAAGGACAAGGACACCCAAAGGAAATGAAATTATAGACTTTTCCACGCCAGCAGACCAATAATACAAATAATAATAATAGTTCTAATAACGATGTTTTATAAACGGAAAAGTTAAACCCAAAACGTGGTACTATTTCTAAAGCAACCTATTCTAAAGAAATTAAATTAAAAAATAATAATTAAATAAAATTAATTATGAAAAGGATATTCCTAGTTTCCCAAAAATTGTGTCTTCAAGTGAAAAATTCTTCCACAGACCTTCAATAACAAAATTCAAGACAAATCTCAAAGACAAATACATTTTCCACTTTTAAGAATGTCAATCAATGGCCAAAGATTTCCCTTTCAGGGAGAAAGAGAAAGAGGGTCAAAGGGGAGTGAAAACCCGTTACATTCTTCTGCAGGATAACAAAGAATTATTGCCAAAGACATTCGACAGTTCGATCCGTTGTATTTAATGGATTTCCATTTTTTATTTGAAGTCTTGGGTTCTCCTCGGTTCCTACTTTTATTTTTTTTTGGATCGTGAGAAAGTTGTTAACCCCTTCGAGGCCACACATCTATAATTTATAATTTTTAATGATTAGGTACCGTTCGAGAGGGAAAAAGGTAACAGTTGCTGCTGCCAAAAGACGATCCTTTTGCGGGGTAGATCCTGCGAAGGATAAAGCGGCAGTGGCGTCATCCCTTCTTCGCCCGAGGAGGTCCTTCGTTGAGGCC